TGCTCACTCATCTGCATCAGCTGAACTTGCTTCAGGCGCTGATGCAGGAGCACAAGTACTTCATTGGTGCCAACAATCGGCTGTGGCAGCGCTTGTTCTCCTTTGGAGAGCACCAAGCGCCATCACGGCCGCAGTTACCACGAACATGCTTAGGCGCTGCTAATTTCCCTTCTTCTTGCCGGGCTGGCCTCGGCCCTGTGAGGTGATGCTAATCTTGATTTTTGATACTAATTCAACAGGGACCGCAGCAAGGCCAAAATGGCTAGGAGTGTGATGAATATTTGAACCACGAAAGATCAACGAAGCCGTCCTAGCTCAGTCGGTAGAGCGCAAGACTCTTAATCTTGTGGTCGTGGGTTCGAGCCCCACGGTCGGCTATCTCCTTTTTTGCTGCCAAAGCTACCCGGTACCAAGACCCTTTGCAGAGGGTGCGCCATTCTATTTGCCGGAGCTTCAGGGCCAAGTATCGGGGGTGTAGCTCAGATGGTAGAGCGCTCGCTTAGCATGCGAGAGGTAAAGGGATCGATACCCTTCTCCTCCAACTCAATTTTTATTGATTTTTTTACAGGCCTTGTGACGTCAACCATGGCTTGTTAGCCTTTGCTCTCCAGCAGGTGTGATCTGGCATGCCCATGCCAGTCTCGCTATTGGAACGCAGCACGGTTCATCAGTAACCCGCTGCGTTGCACCAGGCAACATTGCCTTATGTGCGAAAATAACACTAATTCGGTCGTTGGCATGGATGTGGCCAATGCGGCGAGAGTAATATCAAGCTGTCCCTGCCATGGCCCGCATACTCACACCTCAACTGCCGGCTGCTGGTGCGTCACCTCGTTCACCCTAAAGACGCCACCAGCTCTTCGTCCTCACTTTGCCGCAGGCTTGTTTGTCACACGGACCCATCACTGCACCACCACCACACCGGCACCGGCACCAAAGCTCATAAGCTTAACCCACATAACACCACATCCACAACCTACGCCGCCCGCACCTGCCACCACCATCTCCTTCTTCCACACCAGCACGACTTGCCCGACGTTCTTTAGAGACCACTACTCAACCACCACGCTTCTCAAGACCACGATAGACGTGTAGACGAGAAAGATCGCAGAGAAAGAAGAAGTTGTAGAGAGCGAGGGAGCGAGGAGGATGACCTTCAGGTGGCTGCGTAGCAACAACAAGGAGAAGCAGACGAGCGAGTGGAGCACGAAGGACGTACAGCGCTTCTTCCGAGAGCAGCACCTCGAGGAGGTGGCGGTGGCGGCCAAGAAGGCCAAGCTGTGCGGCAAGCAGC